ATTTTAATTATTACGATTTTAATCTACTTTAGTTTTAGTATAATAAACATTTATTTTGCTATAGTAATTATAAACTATGATTATAAGTAAAGTTGTAGCCAGAAATAAGAGCTACAAATTGGTATAAAATAGTTATCATTAATAATAATTATTTAGAGAGTTACATAGCATTTATGATCAAATTTAATAAACGTAAAAATAAAAATACTTTAGTTATCATTATGTAAACTTTTAATTCTTACTAAATACCATAAATTATGCTTATAAGTAAAATTGTAGCTTATATTTAGAGCTACAAATCGGTATATGATAATATATGCCGATCTTTAATCGAACTCGAACCAGACTCGAACTCGTATAATGGTTCAGTTCAAGTTTGGTTCGAACTTCGAATCTTTCTTGAACTCAAAGCCAAAGTCTGGTTCGAGTTCGGTTCGAATTTCGAACCGAACTCGAACCCGGGCAAAAGTCCAGTTCGGTTTGGTTCATAGGAACACTAGTATTTAGAACATCCTTTTCTAATTCTCTTGGTATATATATTTGTACATTTTATTAATGTAACAAGTTTCACTCTAATTATTTTAATTAAAGAAATCAACCATACATAAACATTAAGTTTCTCTTTAATTATTTTAATTAAAGAAATCAATTATACAGAAACATTTAGTCACAAAGAACATTCAAGTGTGCAGAAACACTTGATCCTTCCCAATTGTTCTAATTTAAATGCCATTATTATTTTAATTATCATTGCAAAACCGATCATCATGACATGTGAATGGATATCCTAGTCATGGATCATATTTACGCGTGGCCGGGTATGATCGACGTAACCCATCGGTACTGGTCCGGAAAGATCACATGATTTTACACTGTCTCTAAGCACTGTCCGTAGACTTTCCGTAAAAATATTCGGTTAATTCAGTGTGTATCGCGTGATTCACGTGATTTTAAGAGGTGTCGAACAGATCGAAATTCACATGATCCGACCTTATAGATCACGTGAGTTTCACAATAATCCAGTTTCTGAATTAATCAAAAAATTTGTGCATTTTTGGGTTTGTATTACATGCACAAATAAGTTATCCCTGAAATGTGTGTGTTAATAAAATGCCGGGTATTATAAATCAATCAGACCAATAAGAATATGCAAATTTTGATCAGTTCGGCAAAACAAATTCGAAACAAAAGAAAATGAAAAGCGAAAAATAAGGAAAATGAATGTTCAAATCTAACTTGGAATACTAATAAAAAATGTCGGGGAGGCAATTTTACATATAATTATATTCATCCAACCCTAACTATATAATCAACCTTTGGGTAATTATGACTGCGCCACCAACCTGGCACGCATTAGACCTATTAGACCTGCGGTTACATCAAATAACATCAATATCGAAAATGTTAACACTCTTTCCCCAGCGAAAGACTTTGAGCATATATTGTAATTTAGCTGTATCTCTATCGAATTATGTTTCAAAAGGCCTTCTTCGAGCAGTTAACAATAATAATAATTTTCCAAAGAGTACTATTCGTTTCAAGTCGGACGTTGCTTTGTCAAATGAATCTATTGCCGAAGGCGGGCTTCTAAAAGGAATACGTGTTCTTGATCTTACGCGTATATTAGGTATATGTTAAAGACGGATTTACGCATGTTTTTTTTTAGTATAACTTGTCATTCATTAAAATATTAAATAAATTGTGCAGCTGGGCCTTATTGCACTATGCTTTTAGGTGACCTTGGGTAAATAATATATCTTAAACGCGTCAAAATCTTTTTACTTGCTCGTTCTATATTGAGAGATTGAAAACCACATTCTATAATAAATATATTTTATATTAAAGTGCTGAAGTAATAAAAGTTGAGAATCCACTTCATGGTGACGATACACGTGCTTGGGGGCCTCCCTGGGCACAAAATAAAGATCCAACAGATAATTCCACTCCCGAGAGTGCATACTTTCTTGCAATAAATCGTAATAAAAAATCTATTTGCGTAAACTTAAAGTCGGCCGATGGAATAGAGTTGATAAAAAAAATCGCGGTAAAAAGTGATGTATTAGTAGAAAATTTTGTGCCCGGAAAATTAGACGAATTGGGGCTGGGATGGGAAGAATTGAGCAGAATTAACCCGGGATTGATTTATACTTCTATTACTGGTCTGTCTTTTTTTGATTTTTTTAGGGTTGAGTTTATTATAAAGAAATAAAAATGATGGTTTCTTAATGTTTATAGGATATGGACATACCGGACCTTATGCCCAACGACCCGGTTACGATGTCATGGTAGAGGTAAGATTATCTCTGATTTTAATTATTTATCGAATTTAGTGATGAGTTTTTTATTAAATAGGCTGAAGGGGGATTAATGTATATTACGGGTGAAGAAAAAGGCAGACCAGTAAAAGTAGGCGTTGCAATTACCGGTAATCCTAATTTACTTGTATTTTATTCATTATTTAAAGATTATTTTCTTAATAAAAAAATTATTTTACAGATTTGACAACTGGTAAAAATGCACTGATAAAGATTAATATTATTTTCTGCACATTCCATATTTATATTATTAATCACCTCAAGCTTTCAGTGGCATTTTCTCAACAAAGGATTATACGCTCACGGCGCAATAATGGCATCTCTATTCGCACGAACACGTACAAACAAGGGTGAATTCATTGACTGTTCACTGCTCGACTGCCAAACGGCCTCCCTGGTAAACATTGCCAGCAATTACCTGGTTAGCGGACAAGAGGCAAAACGTATGGGCACCGCACACCCATCTATTGTCCCCTATCAAGTAATAACCACTAAAAACGGGTATTTGATGATCGGCGCTGGTAATCAGCGACAATTCAAGATACTGTGTACGACATTGGGAGTGCCAGAGTTATTTGATGACTTGAGGTTCCGGACTAATACTGATCGTGTACACAATCGTGACGAGTTGATTGCTATTTTGGAGGAAAAGTTCAGACAGGAGGATACGAAATATTGGCTGGAGGTATTCGCGGATAAAGGAATTCCATTTGCGCCCATTAATAACATTGAGCAGTCATTTAAACATCCGCAGGTTGTTGCTAGAAAAATGATTCAGAAAGTGGAGCATCCAAAAGCTGGCATCGTACAGTTGACAGGTGATTTGAGTATTGATAATCTTATTGATAATTATATGATAATTCATTATTAAATTAAAATAAATATAGGCATCCCTGTGAAATATGCTAGGAACAAACCGAGTATTAGATTGTCACCACCAACTCTCGGACAGCATACCAAACAAATTTTAGCCGAATTATTAGAATATTCTGATCAAGAAATAGAAGTTTTGAAGACAAAGAATGTAATTTAAATTATAAATAAAAGGCACTTATTTATTAAAATTAAATTAATATAATACATGAATATTTATTTTCAAATCATACTTGGTCTTGTCTTGAATAAATATTTTTTTCGTATAATTACTTTAGATATTAATTGAGTGTTGGCGATATTAGTTTCCTGTGATGGTGCAGTGGTTGTATTGACTGATGACAATCGTTCAGCTAATAATAGCCAAGGCTTTTCTAGCTTTACTAAACGACCTTCACAACGATATGCGCCAAAATACAGAATTGGAGTATCAAAGTTCTATAGTACATATAACATACGTAATGGGTTAACAGTTCAACATCGATAATTATATCCTCAAATTCAAAGAACTTACTTCTCCCTCGAATTTCAACTCTCCTACAATAAATTTCTCATTCTTCTTTTTAATATTCTCTTCAAAATTCATTAGTTCCCCTTGTAATTCTATTAACACAATTTCTCCTTCCTCATTTATAGTCGAGGTCGTCGTAGTTGTGTTTAAACTAAAGGTTTCAAGTTCCCCAGGAGGGGTAGCAGGATTATTCTGGCAATTAGTAGTAATGGGAACATATATTTTGACCATTTTTATTTTGACTCGAAGAAAAACGCGATTTTTTTGAATGAAATTTATCAGTGGACTAGTCTTTTATTCTCGACGCGCGTCAATGAATTTTTGATAATGCCGCCAAGCATTAAGTGATCGATGTAAATTCGGCTAAAATTTAAGGTATCATAATTTCGTAGAGCAGGTCACGAGAAAAATACAGAAAAGAAAAAATTTTGTCAGTCGTCTTTCTACTCGTTCTACCACAAGTGAGTTATTTTTGTATTAAAATTTGATTGTTTACGATTTGAGTTATATAAATTATAAAGCAATTGAAAGTAATTTATTAATTGCGGGTTAAGTGAATAATAAAACTTATACGTATTGAGGAAGGAAAAGAATACCAGTAAATCCATCTGATAATAATTAAAACAGGCGTGAATAATCAAAACACATTTTTTATCATTTCGATATCAGAAACGTATAAAAATAAAAAATGGTGAGATACTCGATTACCCCACAAAATATCGAAAAATGTATGTATAGACAAAATATCGATTTTTATTCAATTCATCAATTAATCTTTATGACGATAATTTTATCATAGCTGCCAAAACTCGTGGCGCCTATCTACGTGTACATTTCAAGAATACACGTGAGGCCGCCAAATCGATTTCCGGTAGAAAATTGCTTAACGCTATAAAGTATCTCGAGGATGTGAAAGCTCATAGACAAGCTGTGCCGTTTAGACGCTTCAATGGTGGTGTTGGTCGGTGTGCTCAGGCTAAGGCTTTTGGCGCCACTCAAGGTTAAATAAAATAGATCCCTGATTCTTTCTGTTATTGTTTTATTGTCGATGTATTTATTTAATGATATTACATAGGTCGCTGGCCGGCAAAGAGCGCCGACTTCTTATTGGGCTTATTGAAAAATGTTCAGAGTAATGCTGAGGTAAATTAGAGCTTTATACATTCAATTTTTTAAAAATCATTTATTTTTAATTTCTTTAATTATATTATAATCAAAAAGCTTAAACAAATGGAAGTGGGGAATTTAGTTATAACTCATATTCAAGTCAATCGAGCACCAAAACAAAGAAGAAGAACTTATCGTGCTCATGGTGTAAGTATTTTTATCATTATTATTATCCCGTTATCTCATTTATGTTAATTGTTAATATTTTTTTACCCATAGCGTATCAACCCGTACATGAGTAGTCCATGTCACATTGAAATTATCGTCACGGAAGAAGCGACAAAAGTGAAACGTGAGGACGACACTAAGAAAGTACAACGTCTCAATCGTAGACAAGTTGCACGACAAAGATTAATTGATTCCCATAATGCGTAAATATATAAAATTAAATTTCAGTGATAATAAATGGTATTTTGTATGTTGTAGAAGAAAATTATTTTTATTATATAAATAATAATGATAATATTTAAAGTCGTCCTAATATCCTTGAATAAATAAAATAAATTAACTGAAAAATACCTATTTACAAAAAAAGATACACATACAATAAATAAATGATCATCTAAATTATCCATGAGTACTTAGCCATTTTGAAATATCGTCAGGAATTGGTTTGTTTAAAAAATCTAAACGGATAGCTAATTTTTTATATGCCTGAGGATGTCCTTTATCGTGTGCTTTTCTCATCCATCGTGCTCCTTCGTCAAGATCTTCTGGAAGACCATGGGCGCCATTAATCAACAGATCTCCATAATTGTACATTGCATTTCGATTACCATTCTGAGCTGCTTTTCTCAGATTCTCAATTGCAATCTGATCATTAATTGAATTTTTCTCAACTCCTTCACCACATAACAGTGCAACACCGTATCTGAACTGTGCATCAGCAATTCCCTTTTCTGCAGAACGACGAAAATATTCGACTGCCAATTCTTTGTTTTGAGGTACACCGCGATCACCGGTAAGCAAATAATAGCCGACGTAAAATTCCGCAATGCGATCACCTTTCTCTGCGAAATTTTTAAAGATAGGCCAAGCTTGTGCATATTTTTTTTGTTGATGAAGTTTTTTTGCGTGTGCTACATCGACTGTTCGGGGATCAATATATAATTCGATCCCTAGTTGTCCCGAATCTTCACATTCATTTGGGTCTTTGGGGGGTGTTTCTTTAATTGAATCATTTGAAGAATGTTCATTGATTTGAAACGGTTGTGGATTAGATAACTCATGGATATTCTGAATGCTGGAATTAGATAACTCAGGGATATTCTGAATGCTGGAATTAGATGACTCCTGGACATTACGAATGTTGGAATCAGAATTATGTTGCGATCCCGTTAATGTTGATGAATCAGACAAAACAGATTGTGATTTAAAATGTCGTAAAGAATTTGACATTTGTTTGTTAAGACTATTCAATTCTTTGAACATACTCGAAGCGGTCGGTCTTCTTATCGGTTTATCTCTCCATCCTTCTTGCATTATTTTCTCGTATGCTGACGGTGTATCTCTTATCAATTGGGGTCGAGTTCCTGACACGACCGCACTAATTAATTCACCTATAGTTGAATAGTTTTCGAAAGGCATTTCTTGGGATGCAAGCTCCCATAAAACAATCGAGAAACTGTATATGACATAAAATAAAACATTAATTTTTATACGAATTTACTTATTAATAATATAATTAATCAACATACCTGTATATATCACATTGTTTAGTGTAAGGGACTTTATGTTCGCGAAGCTTTTCTGGAGCTAACCACCTATAAAAAAAAACAAAATTATTACTTTAGAAAAATATGATATCTAGTGTAGCTTAAAACGAATGAAAAAAATTAACAATTACTTGTATTGATTTGCGAGATCTTTAAAATGGTTGGAATCTAAAGTGTGGTCAACTTCTTTACGACTGGAGCTGAAGTTATTTATTTTCCCTACTAAGTTTTCAGTCAATAATATATTGTGACTAAGAAATACAAAAAATTAGATTAATTTTGACCCAATAATTTGAAATAATAAATGAAAGCAACGATTATCACCTTCTAATATCATGATGCAAAATATCAAATGTATGACAAAATGTTAATCCACTCGCAATTTCCGAGGCGATTCTGATCTTAAATGACCAAGAAAGGTCGGGATTATTTTTCAGATAACTATTTAAATCTCCTAACTCTGCCCATTCGGATATTATATAGAGTCGTCCAGCGCGTTGCATTGTTCCATGACTAATATATTTTTAATGAATAATAAATCAATGAGAAATGAAAAGGGGGGGGGGGGGGGGGGAGGGACCTTTAAAGCAGATAATGATAATTTACATACAATCTGATTATATATTCACAATCTTTTAATTCAGTAAGAATTGCCACTTGGCGTTCAATAGTCTCTGGTTTTTCATGCAACGTATCAACATAACCGATTTCTTTTTGAGCCACACCTTGGGCAATATATTTCATTTTTCGGACTTGACCACGTATATTACCATGAGAACTTTTATACCTTGTATTATTGCTACTCTCTTCTTCATCGTCATCAATTTCTGTTATATGTTTACAATCTATTCGTGTCTTGTGCAAATTTGATGGAATGTTTTGTGGATTGTACATGTTTTTAATGGCTTCATGCATAACATCCATTTTTTCATCTAATGCTTTAACATTGATGACTATACTATCTTCTTTGTTGAAAATATTTCTCATAACCTCTTCAATTACTGAAAATGTTGTTTTGATCTCATCTTTTAAGAGCTTCGAGTCCTCTTCTATATCTTGGCGAGTTCGCACGATCTGTTCCAGTCCTAATTGCGCGATTGCAGTGTCGAGATTATGTGCCAGATCACCAAATTTCCACTCTATCTATTGTTATTTATTATATTACATAATCAATTATTTATTTAATAATCAATAATCAAAAAATAATATTCACCTCTCTTGCTGATATAAGTTTCAAAAACCCGCTAGTATTACTTATTCTAAGTATAAACTCTTTGGCCTCCACGATTGCATCTTTATACTTGCATAAGGCAATGTAATTATCGTTCCCAATTTCAACTCCACGAACTTTTCTTTCAAGGATTTTGTTTGCTACACGTATACGATCCGTTAATCTACGACATGTCTTTTTATTGTGTTCTGCTTTCTCGGTAAGGTCGACAATTTCACGAAATAATATAGCACAAGCTTGAACAATTGGACCGGCCAAGATAGCACCATTAGCAGCACCAGATGACAGAGCAGCAACACTAGTTAACAACCCGCCAGCATTCGCGATGACAGCGGCATGCTGCAAACCCTCAACTTCTCCATACATAGAACCTTGCTTGTGACCAACATTATGGTCAGGCAAAATGTCTTCTAATCCTTCTGTATACAACTTTTTTGCTCTCTTGCTACTCATTTTTATCAGAGATAATAATAAACTTTTGAAAAATCAACGATGATGATATATATTCGTGCGTTTATTTATCTGTTCCAAAATAGGAAAATACATATAGAGTTTATGTTGATTTATTCGCAAAGAAAATCAGAGTATTTAAACATCATAAAAATAAATTATTAATTAGCGTTAAAAGAGTAATAAAGATACAAATATGACTTGAAAAAGATGAGATTAAATTAATTATTATATTCCACCACATCCGCTGCATGGTAGTGTAGCTTCTAAAAGAAGTATCAATGATGAATAAAAGAATTCAAAATACTGACGAAAATTAAAACATAATAAACTTGCCAAAATGTTTTGTGTCTGGTCGGTGAATAATGTTTCTTCTGTTGCCGCCGCTGCTACCACCACCTCCATTATCGGAAAGACGCCCTGTGATTCTAACGTCATCAGCGGCTTGTGGCTATTTTTCAAGGAATGATATAAACTAGTGTCGTCGTATTGAAGAAAAATACTTGCATGAAAGGGAAATTAAGAATGATAATAAAATAAATCTTGGTTACCGAGATTAAAGTTTGCACGAAATACACGAAAAAGTGTATTACACCCCAAAAAGTGGTATTGATAAATCCAAAAATGCTAGCATTTTTTTCTTGGACAGTGCCGTCTTTTAAATCGTGTGTATTGTTAATATAATAAACAAAATGAAGGTAAAAATGAAATTAAGAACTCTGTTTACCGTTAGCAATGAACTTTACCATGTTTGTCAAGTAATTGTGAAATACTTTTTTGATCTGATACTTATATTTGTGGGGGAACACTAAAGCAAGGTGGTGGATTAAGGATTAAGTCAACTCGGATAATCTTATAATTATCTGTAACACATTCAATGATTGGCTGAATTCTGCTTAACATCATCGCTCTTTTGTTTTGTAGTTTGGCCCAGCAAATTCTAGCTGGGACCCTCACCAATGAAAAGAAGCGCCGAATACTCACTAACAACATCACCGACGTGAAATCAAATTGGAAACTGATCGCGACCTGGAGAAATTCACAACTTCAACGAAACGAAAATGGCGGCCAAACTCCTAACAACAGCTTACGCGACCAGGTTCATACCGAGTTTCTTGAGTGTGAGTATTTGGCGTTTCTTTTTATTTATTGGTAGGCGTCTAGTTTCTTCATTTCGTTGGTGGTGTTGCAAATTTCGACTGGTTTCCAGTTTGGTCTCGCACCGGGTCTATACGGTATTGTTGAACGCCCATATCTCTGGAACACATGATCAGATCTTTGCGATC